GTCAAACTTGTTTAGTCGTTCAACGACTAAACAAGTGCTATCTTATTATATATTTATATGAGATGTATAAGTTATAAGCACCAGCTTTCAAATAAAAATAGAATCATTAAAATAGTTTCGGAAAAGTTCTGAGGTAACACACTTAAAAAACAGTTGAATTGAGTACCTCCTCCTTTTTTGAAGTCGGTTAAAATGGTAACTAGGTAATAAATTATCTGAGTTTCAAAGAAATTCACGTTGTTATAATCTTAATTTTCCTTGATGTTGCATATTAACCTTCCTCACATTAAACAATAAAGTTTTTATTATCAGCAAATTGATGATTCTGTGGTGCAGCAGCTTAGCAATGAGTTGCAATGCGGGGGCCGCGGGCTTGAATCCCGTACGGAACAAGTATTTGTATGGCCTACAAATAATTGTTGCGGATCTAGATGTTTGTCCATGTGCAATTTATGTTTGTCAACTGCCTCCACGATACAGGAGAAAGTCCTAGTGTGGGGGTAATGTTTTTTTTTTACAAATAAATAAATACATTATATAATACCTTGGTGTATTCTACAATATATATCAACTAATATCAAAGAATTTTTTTTTTCTCATAACACCTAACCCTACAGTAGAAGCGGTCTTAACAAAGGCGCGTAACGGGATAAGTGATACAGACACTCGCACGCGGACGTAAGGTGCATTTTGATTTAATACGCGCACCACAAACATATTTTTTTCGACGAAATAAACTGTAGGCTAATTTGACGAAGGTTACTTCCGAGGCGTGCAAAGTATTAGGAACATTAGCGACGTTGTAACTAAGTTTAAACTCTCAAGTTTGCTATCAGAGAGTGAGCCCTCTGTTCTTTTAACTATTATTTATTCTGTGGTTCAACCTAATCTGTGAACCAAAAATTAGAAAATGTCATGTCAAGGAATCCAGACGATAAATGTTTTGAGACTAAATAGTGAGAGACCGTCACGTGAAGAAGATATTGTTGTGCGCCACAATTAATGCATGGTACATGGCGACGATAGTTACCACTAGTGCCTTCTAGTAACGAGTAGCAGAACTAGGAGAGTCAAGATCCTTCTAGAAATTTCCATGGATAAACTTTCTAGAACTATCGACACATTTTTTACGTGGTAGAGCCATGCTGCAGCTATATTAATAGTATAGTTGTAGCACGAATGGGTCCGCTCGACCAGGAAAGGACCACGCCCTCACATAATACCAGCGTAAAATAACAGCTCAATGCTGCTGTGTTTCGTATGGTGAGTGTAGAGAACCGGAGACCCATTTTACTGGAAAAGAGGCATTCTATCTTAGTCCTGGCTGATGGCTGACAACAAATCTGCATTTTAATTCGCAAACGAAGATAGATGTAGATGTCTATGGGCCACATTAACCACTTACAATCAGGTGAACTGTGTGCTCGTTTGTCACCCTAATTCTATAAAAAAAAACTTAGTCAGTCGGGACCGGTATGTACTCGAACATTCTAGATGTTTCTACCGTAGAAGGTTCTGGAAATTAACTGAGGCCCTATATAAGGTCTATATGAGGTATAGACCGCGACCCAGTCAGCATTGAATTGGCTATACAAGACATGGTGAGAAATAATGTGATAAGAGAAAAGTGTGGTTTGCAAGAAGACGTTGTGACCAGGGTTAAGAAAGGATTGCTTCGGTGGTTTGATCATGTGGAAAGAATGAACGAGAAAAGAGTGACAAAGCAAATTTATGTTGCAGAAGTGAACGGCAGAGTCAAGAAGGGACGCCCTAGACGAAGGTTTATCGACCAAATTGGCGATATATTGAAAATGGGCCAGATTAGGAGTACCCTTAACCGACGAGCGTGTATGCGTAGATATATGGATGTAAAGGAGGTGAGAGAGGTGTGTCAGGATCGTGCCTAATGGAAGTCCGTACTCTCTGCCTACCCCTCTGGGTGACAGGCGTGAGTGTTTGTGTTGTTGTGTGTTTACTCGGCAGTTTTTAATTGTCTTGAACCCCAAGCTCATAACAATATCGATGACGACATTTTACCCTCTCCGACTCACTTTAGTGGACGTTGGGAGACCATATTCTCTGTACAAGTAAATTTTAAATATCAGGAAAAATAAGACAAAATATGAAATATGAAGATGATTAAATAATAAAGATAAAAACAACACAATTATTCAAAAATATTCATTTACAAGTATTGAAAATCAACAACATCTGTTCATAGAAACAAAATCTAAAGTGGACTTGCGCCACAGTTAACTAAACTCTAGTTAACTTAGTTTTGTCAGTCATAATCCATTGAATTAGAATCAGACATAATAACTGTATCACTTTCAGTGTACAGTTTTCCACAGTGGTAGAGCCACGCGGCAGCTTTTGCTGTCGCACGGATGGGCCGGCTCGAACCGGGGTGGTACCACGACCTCACAGAATACCAGCGTGAAGTAGAGGTTTACCTCTGCGTTTCGCTTGGTGAGTGCAGGTGGCCGGAGGCCCTTTTTACTGGAAATGAGGCATTCCATCTTAGTCCTCACGGGTGGCAACGCATCTGCATTTTGATTCGCAAACGAGGATAGATGTAGATGTCTATGGGCCGCAGCAACCACTTACCATCAGGTGGACTGTGTGCTCGTTTGTCACCCTTATCCTATAAAAAAAAAAAAAAAAAAAAAAAAGTATCCATTTCTGGCCCAGTGGAGTCGCTATCGCTGCTTTGACCTAATTAATTATCTTTCGTAAATTTCTCCCAATCTATCTTGTTCCCAATACTTTTGACGCAAGCGATCCACGTGGTGTATTTCCTTTTTCCAATCACTTGGTGTTATACTTTTCATAGCATTTTGGGTTAAGTTTAATATTTCTCTTTCGGATCGGGATACATTTTTTTCTGCGACGCGCTGTTTTAATAAATTCCATATATTCTCTATGGAGTTTAAATCGCAGTGATACTTTAGTAACCGGAGCTCTTCATGATCATGTCTTTTTAACAATTCGTCAACGTAATGTGTCTTAGGTGGTATTGTTATTTTGATTAGATGGTATAATTGTTTTTGGTCATGTTTTCATCATAGGTGATATTATGATCACGTAACCAATTCTGCATATGTTCCTTAAATGATGAGGAAGTCGGCCGTTTTTGTATGTGCTTGCTATGATAAGGAGTATTATCGTGAGCGCACGGCAACTTTGCTAACGGTACTAACTAGGCGAACGCGTGACGTGGTCGGCGGAAGCGTGAGGGGTAGTCTCCAGCAAAATTAACTAAAGAGTTATATTTTATCCTTGTATGTCATATGTTTACGTGAAATATAATTTGTTGGCTTTTCATACTAGCCAAGTTATGTATGTTCAAAATATCGAAAACCCCAACAAATTTTCTTTTAAATTCATTGAAGTATGTACAAAACATTCCTTTAAATGACTTAAGGCAGTATCTACTATATATTTTTATATTTTGGGACCATAATTCTTTTATGATTTTGTATTAGCATTTAGCACTAACTACAAAGCTAATATGTGAAATTTATCTTATTCTTTTTAGTTATTTGATGTCAGCTTTACTTTTTATTATAAGCTTAATTTTAATGACAACGTTACATTAGAATTTCTTCAATATCTTAGAGGCTTTTTTCATATTTACATGCATTAATTGGAAATGGATAAACATCCAGACCTGGAACAATAATTTGAAGGCCATAAATATGTAATTATGTATGTACTATCCATGTTTAGTTTCCTTGGCGAGTAAGCCTATCATATTCCTGTCCATGAACCTTGATAATATAAGTCGTGAACCCTACAACAATGTGGGTGCATATTATGTCAAAAATAATTATTTAATCTTTTGTTGTCACTTATGAAAGACTAGAATTATACTACATAGATTTCATCCATATTCCATCCATGTTGATTCTTTCTCTTTTCACACAGATTCATTGTTGTCATTTTTGAAGGCGTTATTGACTTATAATAACTATTTACTACGTACAAAGAAAAGACACTACCCAAGACCAATATTGCTACTAAACGTAGTTATTATATTATACTCTTTGATTGCTACAACCTGTAAACACTGTAATTTTTTTAGTATAGCAATAAATTTTCATATTGATTTTCCTTTTTCTTATAGATGTGCCAACTCGGAAAAATTACAACTCGAGTTAACTTGAGTTGAAATTCTCGCAACTCGAGTTTAAACTCGAGTTACGCAACTCGAGTTAGCAGTACGAAACAGACTAAAGAAATTGTCACAAATTACTTTTTTATAAATTTGTTTTTCTATCTCGCTCTGGTGGGTTGGTATAACTATAATTACCAAACTT